TATATATATATACACATTTTGAGCATAGGTACATAAATGCTTTTTAAAAGGAATATTCAAGAGACACTACCACTGCAGCCACTGGGTTCCTGTGCACTGCTACCCTGAACTTCCGGTGAGACGTGCACAATCAACCAGTAAAGCAAATTCACATGATCTGTCTTCAGGACTACATGTCCCATCAGTCATTGTGCCACTTTGCAGGTGTACCCCGTTAGTCAATGTGAGGATGCTGCCTGCACCGCACAAGCATCCTGAAAGGACAGCAAAAGATTACCTGCCTATGCCCTACTGTCAGTCATTTGTCTTGTAGGAGGAGGAAAAGCATGCTATCGCATCCTATCACTGACATACAAGGGCAGTGTCAATACATATTGCTGTAGTCTTATTCATGGGAGCACACATGTAAGGGTGACTCCATTGAATTTTGCAAGCCAAGGAGCGACCTTTACAATGGAAGTCTGTACCAGCAGTCAGGAGACAGCCAGAAAAAGAAGGACAACATTAAAATGCAATGCAGAAGATGCAGACAACTATGCAAGTCCTATTTTCAGCATCTAATATATGAAAAAAATAGGTTTAATATCACTTTAAAATTAAAAATGGTGATTGGAAATCAGTTAGGTCCGCGCTGCCTTCCAAACAGTAAATTGGAATTTTATGAAGTCAAGCTACTATGTGTGTGGCCTGAACCATTGGTGTCTGCATCCCCATATTGCTGCTATAAACTACCCTGTCTGTGTTTTTCTGCTGCACACAAGCAGACTTGTCTACCTAGCCTGGTTCATACATAAATGTAGCCAACCTAAGGCAGATCCGTCTACATGCCTGCAACAGGAAAGCTTAACCACTACCATTTACAGCAGCAGCATGGAGATGCTAAAAATGTGTGCAGGTCACACAATGTGTAAGGGAACGGTCAGACAAGATCAGCTAAGGTATGACTAGTAATTTTATCCCCACAACTGCTTGGTTGAGGTCGGTCTATGAAGCTAAGTAGAATGACCATAATCTATGATTTTACAAAACCCTATATACAATTTTAAAAGTAATGAATTTGCATATTCACACTAGCAAGTCCCATTTTTATAGCCAATCTGATAAAACTCCAGCTAGTACGCAACCCTAGACTCCTCTCAAGATGACCAAAAATTATTTGCTTTCCCGACACAGGACATTAGCTCATCATTGTGGTCAAGCTTTGCGATCACTTATTTGCAGAACTCAAACTTGTAAACATCTTATAAGAATACAAAAATCAGACGTGTGTTAAGTTTCACTTTTTTAAAGAGTTCAAACTTGAATAAGTCAAAGCATGGAGCCATTTTGTTTTGTTTTTTCTAAGGGCCTGCGTGTGAGAAAAATCTTGCCACCTTTTCATAAGAATGAGAAGGACCCCAATTTTCTAAACAATTGTCAGCTTCTACTTACAAGTGAACCGAGGACTTCATTCTTGCCTTGTTTGCAGTAAATGTACAGTTACCCTGTAGCATATGGATTGCTTATATTTTTTTCAAACTTTTACCAAAAAATATATTGGGGCAAGTAATTTACAATTAACACAAAATAGAAGGTTTTAGGTCTTTGTCAATAAGATATAATCAAACCTAAACTGCTACTAATTAACAGGTTTCCCATCTAGCCATGTTAATAATAAAATGAACAGCTGTGGTATCTGCAGCTGTGTTTCTAGAAACCATGTTTGATAAGGATCTCTTTCATGGGTGCCTGTTGCAGTAAACCCAAGTATAGCATCACAGCTAATGACAGCTCAGAGTGTTCGTTGGCACAAGGCAAACACGCCTTCCCCTTTAGGAAATATGTTCAAGTTAATACAGAATTCAGTAATGACTTGCAAAGTCATTACTGAACCCGGTACTTTGAAGCCCAAATCCTTATACTGTGCTATGGGTGACTGGGTATATTGTTTAATTCATACTGGATTGGCTTCCAGAAATTATTTTTCTTTGTGCTTAATATGATGGAATGTCTGTTTTGTATAATGTGGATCTATCTACAGCTAAAGAAATGAGTGATGGGTAAAGTAATTTGTTAAAAAGGCAAAATATTGTTTCCTTTTACGGTTATCCTCAGTTCACCTATTATAGTTTTGATGTGTTTAGATTAGAGCATTGTGCTAGTTAATTTCTAAGCCTGCTTGAAAACTACCTTAAATTACTTTTAGGTGTCTGGAGGCAAGCAATAATCACAAATAAAGTTCTGTGCTATCTCCTCCCACCTAGTTTATTTTGGTCTTCATAAACATTGTAGTGTTAGCTGGATACTACAAGTTGCTGTGAATAAAAATGATAACTTTTAGGGAAAGAAAGGGTTGAATACCACTGTGAGAACAAGCAAGTGTATCTTTCATTTATATAAACATTTTTGTTGTACAATGTTTTAAAATCAAAACGTTCTTCACACTGGACTGGGAAGGTTATTTATGTGCTTTCCAGCATTACAGAATAGCCCAGTGCTCTTCAGCACCAGGTACTGAAATATGTTGGGGGGGGGGGATGCTGTTGTGTGGGCCACTTCAATTTGAAGCATTGGAACAAGACATACAGTATGAGCTGGGATTAGCAAGGACCTGTTGTGCCAGGGTGATGCCTTTTTGGAGGTGAGGTACTTTTTTTAAACTATCAGGCATATGAGATCTCGCTTGCACACTGGCCAGGATATTGGCTGATGCTCTACCAGCAAGTCTACCAGCCTAAGGGCTTCTGCTTGTTCTTGTTCTGCTTGTTCAAACGTTTGCTTTCCTAAAGTGCATATTTTTCATTCTTTATTTTTAGTAATCATAAAATAAACAAACATAAGGAAAGTGTTTCACTAAAACAATTGTACGCATCTTGAGTATATATCTATGAAAGTGGTAAATGTGTGCTTAGGTAAATGTTTTAACCCTGTAGTTAGAGCTATATTGATGTGTACTGACAGAAATGGCTTTCTTAATCTACCAAGTACTAATACTACTTTGCAACATTTCATCTTTGTCTTTTTTTTGTTAGTCATTTTCATCTCTGCATCAGAAACCATTATTCGTTGATCTTACTGTTGAGAATGGACAAAGACTGAAAGTTATCTATGGATCTTCGGTGGGATTTCATGCTATTGATGTTGACTCTGGCACAGTCTACGATCTATACTTACCCACGCATGTAAGTCCTACTTATTAAGAATTGGTGTGTGCTTCATGTTTTTCCATCAAAGTTCAGATAAATACATCTTTTATTTTCTACAATGGGGACCATGAGAGTCCAGCAGAGATAAAACAAAAAGAAATCTTAAACACAATCCACAAAAACAATTTAAAAAAAGCTTATAGATGGTGTTTTCAAATGCTGCATAAGTGCAAACTACTGAATTGTTTTATACATGTTCGCAAGTGAAGCTACCACATAGAGTTGAATTAAACAAGGACCAGTATTTATTCACGATTCCTGGCTGCTATTGTCGAGATCTTCCCCACATTGACCTTTTTTGTTCTGTATTGTGACATGTTCTTAATCTGTAAGTCACTTCAGGTGATTAATTACTGGTCTTCACAGACTAGTAACTTGCAGAAACAATGGATGATATGTTTCTCTGCTACTTACAGGTTGGTAAAATTCATATGAACATTTAATGGTAGTAAATCAAAATCTAGACGAGTTGCTGAATATTCAATCCAAACTGCTTCTTTAGTGCAACCCATAAGGAATTTCCTGATATGTATCCTTATAGTGTATCTAAAGGCAAAACTTAAAAAAAAAAAAAAAAAAAAATTTTTTGGGGCATATTTTTCATAGAGACTCAACAGGATCTTTCTAAATAAAATGAGATGACATCCCCTCTTGGACAGTTGACAGCAGAACAGGTGTCTCCATTAAAATATTTCCCCTTCCCTCCTGTTCTGGTAACTGTAAAATGATGGCTTTTTCATCAATAAGGACTTCATTTATAATACTTAGGAACTGCATATACTCGTCAGCTTCAACTAGTGGCGCTAGTGCCATGCAAACATTTTATAAATGCATATATGAAGCCCATATGACAACAAAAAACAGACCATTTCTATTCCATTCCTCCTACATCTCCTTCCCAAAGTTTAAAAAAAAAAAGCTTTGGAGCTGGACTCCATGCAAGCATCTAGATATACAGTTGAAAAAAATGAGAGCTGTTTTATTTGCCAAAGGATTTGTATTTTTCCCACTCAATCCTGAGATTTATATAACCCTGTCAGAGAGCTTTACTAGGTTGGTGACCTGACTTTTTTCTCCATTGCAGTTAAACAATACAGCTAGGTAACCTCACTTCCACACACTTGTGAGTGGACTGACTGTAGAGAGTTTATACGGGGCTGCACAAAGCAGTGGAGAAGCAACAGTTGGTGTAGGAGTATATATTATGATGATAGTGAGGTCTTCTGAACCCGAGAATGGGGGAGTGGTACTGAACACTGTAACACCCTAATTTCTCCCAAATTTGTAAGTCTAGCATAAATGATCAGATGTCAGGGATCATACACTTGGCAGTAATTGGCCATATAGGGTACAATGCAGCCGTTTTTTTTTCTTATAGGAATGACTGTGAAAGTGTGCATTTGCCATCTGTCATCCTGTAGAAATAGCAGGTGGAAGCTGCATGCAAGTGGCTGCATGTGTATAGGGCCATATGCATTCCAAACTATGGCAGTGTACATTCAGGGAATCACATATGGCTCAGTGCACATTTAGCTGGTTGGATTTAAGCCCCCACGGGGAGGGCCCCCCATAACGTCTTGTCTTGAATTGTATTGTAATTGTAAAGTCTTCCTTATATTGTAAAGCGTTGCGCAAACTGTTGGCGCTATATAATTCCTGTATAATTAAAATAATAATAATTTGCATGATTATGCATGCAGCCACACCTGTCATTGGGTTGTACAAGGTGATTGATGTTAGTTGAACACTGCACCTGTCACTGCCAGAGAATGCATGCCTGTATTGTATGCTATACTGCCGTTTACGGCTGTATGCATGAGCCCTTCATCTCATGTCTTTGCTAGGCATTTATGGGAAGTGACACCTTTGACAGAATACAACCCAGCTTAACAAACATTTGACACAAAGCAGAAAACTTTAGATGGGATGCAGAGGTGTCATAAACCTCCACAAGCAGTGTGAAAATTTTGGGGTCTAATGAACCCCGCAATGAGTAAGAAGAGCTATTTGTATGGAACACAGTGCCACCTTAAAGGAGAACTATGGGGTTAAGTCTTTTCCCCATAGTTCTCCTTAGGGTAACGGGAGGACAAAAAATAGCGTCCTCCCGTCACCCTATACTGAGACGCCGCAGTATACCGCAAGCAGCTGCTCGCGGTATACTGAGACGCCGCAGCTGAAGCGGATCCCGACAATTGTGCCGGGATCCGCCCAGCTGCGTGACTGACAGCTGGCTCTGCAGATGTACCCGCCCCTGTCAGTTCTGCCAGTCAGCGCTGGCGGATCGGAGCGGGGAGGGGGGAATCCAGCCCCTCCCCTGTCACGGCAGGGAGCCATGACAGGATCGAGAGGTGAGCGAACGCCGGTATATGTTCGCTCACCTCCCGATCTACTGAGCCGACCTGTGACAGTCTCATTGTCACAGGTCGGCTAGAACTATGAGGTGAGTGAAAATCACTCGCCTCATAGTTCTCCTTTTAACCCTTTAAAAATTTGCAAGTCAGCAACAAATAATCAGATTGGAATCTATTTGTCTATAGTGACCAGGCAGAGAGCTGACACATTTCATATAACGCACACTGCATCAATCAAGTTGGATAAGCAAAACAAAATCCTCATATTGGAATCATGTCTGTAAGCCAGTCACTTTTAATGAAGCCCATGGTAATATTGTGAGGCCATAAGACCTCTAGCAGAACTTTTTACAGGCCTGAGTCTGTTTTTTTTTTCATCTTTAACCTGGGTATGAATAGCCAAGGACAAAACTCTATTGAAAATTCATAATCATTGCTATAATTAAGCTACTCTTGAGGCATACATAAAAGCCATAACATGTCTAATGCCTATCAAATTGTACTTTTGTTGTGTGCAATAATATGTTGGTTGTTGGACTATAAAACCAATTAATCTGGAAATATAGATATAGTTAGAAAAGTGATGTTAAAGGAGGGTCTGCTGAAGTATAATCAAACAAATCAGCTATCCTGCCCCACACCTATTAGTCCGTCTGATTGGGTGGAGTTCCACAAAAAGCTGCTGGAATTGGCACCCGAGAGCTCTCCATATTCTATTACAATCACGTCAGACTGGTAAGAGTCCTTAATGACAGCTGATGACCTTAATGCACCAGACTGAACCACGGATTGGACTCTTCTGGAAACGGAGACCAAGCAAACTTCGTACAGTACTTTATCATCCAAATTTATTTTATTGTTGCTATTTTCTTTGTTTTGTAATATCTTTTCTGTAAACATGTTTCTTTTCCTTTTATTTAAACGATAGTTTAAAATCTTTAGGCAGAAGTTTTAATTGCCCTAATCGGAATTTTAAAGCATTCCTGCCTAATTGAAAAAAGCAATCATATTTTAAAATATTTAATTCCTGTCCAGCGTGACACTGGGTGTCAGACATTATATTTCAAAAGTGCTTTAATAGTTCATGTGAATGGTGCGTGTTTCACTTCCAGTTAAAACATGTGGAGGCAGCTAATGTTTGTGTATATAAGGGTTAACCGTGGCGTTAACAGACCCCAGTGATGATCTCTCAGAATGCTGGCACTAAGATTGTTGCACCACCAGCTGGAAAATCTCTGAAGGGTGAGGCTCAGCGTGTCATTGTCACATTCTGGTGGTATACTGGAGTATTTTCTGCATAATACTGCAGAAATAAACACTGATGGGAGGAGACAGGTCATGTCTTTGACAGGTCACATGACTGGGCTTTCTGATTTCCAGCACTTTTTCTCATTATTTAAAATGGAGTTTTGCTTGCTTCAGAGTTCCCAAGCAAGAGAAGCACAATGCACATTTGTGAAGTACACTGCTGTGCTTAAGAAAAAAAAAACAAGAAAACCTCTTCACTTTTTAAAGTAGTACAATGGCTGCAGTAATCCATACTGTTGCTTTTTAAATGGGCACCATAGTGTATGTTAGAGCAGACTAGTTTGTCCTCTTTGATTTCCTAAAATGACATTATAAGTGTAGAGACTCTTCAAACATAGTATATCTGGATAAGGGGACATTTGTATTTCAAAAACTACTACTCGCGTACTAAGGAATTCACTAGAACATTTTCTGTGGTATTTGTATCTAGTGATAAGCTAGATCTGTCACCTAATATTTTCTGATAAAATAACTTTGAACATTCTGAGCCCAGCATTTTGACATATCCCTAGTGGAAGTAACGGAGGGCTCCGTGAAGATTTAGGCTGCTTTTGATGGTTTACTTATGTTATCATCTAAAACTGAAAGTACAAATGCAGTGGTGACCTACTTTAATTCCCCAGTGTACTAAATATGAACAGCTTAAAGCTTGCTGGTCAAAATAGTGTGCCGTGTACGGCATGGTAAAAAGCACTATAAACATGACAGTCTGACAGGCTGCTGGTCCTTCACATAATTTTGCTGTAAAAAAAGAATTCCTGAGTTTTGAATTAGAGTAGATGAGTTACATCTGTCAGGTGCTTGTTGCTTTCTGAAGTCCCATTGGGGAAATTTCCTCCCACCAAGGTATGAACTGAATAGTAATCACCAATGAGGATCCAGAGAGGAATAACAAACTGATGAAGGGTATATCCTTCACTGATTGTGTTACAGCTGAACTTCGGGATAAGCAAATTGTATCTATGTACAAGAGGCATGTGCATTCTGAATTGAATCTTGGTAAACTTTGTGTATTTCTTCTAGATCTGTGCAGTGATCCACTGTGAAACTTTGCCCTGTGCAGGAGCTTCCTGTAATAGTGACTGCTCACTGCTGCTCTCTTCTTGTGCAGGATGACTGGACTAGTCTCTGCCCCCTCCTGTAGTTTGCTGCAGGCAGCCTGTAGTGGGTGGAGCCTGCTGGTTCCTTCCCACAGCTCTGCTCCCTGCACAGGCTATGTGCAGCTCAATGATGTCAGTGTTACTTTTATAATGTCTGGGTTTGAAAGGCATTTGGTGCACATAAAGTGGATTCATTAATTTAGCTAGATTTTTG